AACTTTTATAAAGAATATCTCTTTGGATTTGAGACTTTAGTCTTTGCAACTTTACAGATCTTCTTTATGCACCAAGACCTTGTAACACTCCAAAGAGAAAGGAAAAATTGAAATCGCATCATATGACCCCTTTAAATAAAACTATAATTAAAACCATACCTGCATGTTGATTAATATCGGGAATAGGGATATGCAGGTATCAAATTCTCATGTTGCGATTAATTGCTCATTCTTTTATCACGGTATACGGTATTATCACGATATTGACATTTAGTTGCAAAAAAGTGTTGTCATAATACAGTATAACAGGTTTAGTAACTTTTTTCTTATAACGAAAATACTTAACGTTTAAATACAATAAAGCAATACACAAAAAATGTATAAAGTTAAAAATTTTACACAGATTAAAGTGCAAAACAATTATAAAGACCAATAGGTATCACTTTACAATAAGATCCCATTAGTTAACCTTAGTTAATGCATTAAAGCTGCAGTGCGTAACTTTTTTTGGCTAAAAATGATCCGAAATCAGTATTTGAGCAAGTACATAACCAGCCAGTGTTCGAAACTATCGCCTTACTTTAGCCCGATTCACAGCAGTTATCTTATAATAATTTTTTCTAATTTGAGTGGTACGGTTAGGTTTTCGCGGGAAATTCGAGCATGTCGCTGCGTCATTACGTCACTTCTATAAACATAAAGTTGTCCCGGCTACTAGGCTATCGCATGTGAGGATCCTGCAGGTGGCGGATCGTTTATAGCCTTTTCCACAAACAGCTGCAATTGCAGGTTTTCAAACAGTGATGGCGACAAAGAGGCAAAATTTACGGACTGCAGCTTTAAGGAATATCATGTTTGTCCATGTTTTAACTTTGTATAGCCTACCTCTGTTGTGCAGAACTTTTCCAAAAATAAAAGTTGTTACATTTTAATTTGATAATTTAAATGTAAACAATTTAAAACATTAATTAAAATGTTAACGTGTGATATAGATATACATAAGGTGTATTGCTTTGTTTTTTAATTGTTTTTTTTTAATGAATTTA